GTTTTAATTTCCTTACTTTCTAAGACACATTAAGTTGATTTGATGCTGCAGTTTGCCTTGTAATATTATTTTAACCCTTTTCTGCTACCTTTGCATTGGCTATTATTAAGTTTTATTAGTTTTTTAGGATACAAGATGCTTCATACAAAAACCAGAATGTGAATCTTTTCTAAAATTTCATGGCAATATCTTGAACACTGAGAAAAATAGATAACAACAAGGTGAAATGGTCACAAAGGTCCCATTGGTTCTGCTTTGAACTGCAGCAAGAAAACAAGAGCTGATTTCACCTAAACAAACATCAATAACTTCCCTCATACTTGAGATCATCACACGATTTTGTGTTATTTTTGTATGGTTTGTAATGATCTTTTGGAATCTGTTGTCAGATTTAATATTGGCGTAGGATTAAAATTTATCCCCATCCCTACTTAATACATATAACTTATTAAAACAATACTACAAAATTTTCTTATGTGGATTTCATCAAGACGTTTCTTAAAGTTTAAAAAATAATATTAGTAACAAAGCTAAACGACTTTGTTAGAATGTCGTCTTTAACACATTTATACATGCTGTGGAGAACAGTTCAGTCAGATGTTTACATACCATAGTTTGGTTCGAGTGCCTAACCCCGCTCGTCAAACCCCGCTTCATTTTTGCTACCATGTAGGAACGCAAATCTTTGCAAACAAAAGTCACCATGGTCTCTATTGTCTTTAAGTTCTGCCGAGAGTCAGCTGGTAACGTTAGAGATTCCTTAGTTTCTTTTGTTTTGATCCAGACAACTTGTTATCGAAAGCTAATGTTAGCACTGAACGTCAATCGTATGTAAATATACGGCAAGCCAGGAGTGACAAAATATACAAACGCGCACAAAACGTCATGGGGAAGAATCGATCTCATGTTCTGTGAATTGATTTTCCCAAATTTAAATGAAATCGATTTTTTTACCCAGCCCTATGCAGTTCAACTGTTATTTGGTTTGACTGAACAAGTTTAAGACATTCCCCACAACAGCAAAAGGCCACATTTGTTTTCATCAAATCTCATGTAGGAGCATGAATATGAAATATCATGTGGGACATCACACTTACTATCTTTGTCCATAAGTGATGATGGAGGGGCAATAGCTGCTCCACCCAAACCTGGAAATAAATAAACACGTTATAAAAGGCCCGTGTGCAGGCCTAACAAGTTTGCCTGCACTTTCAGTCTGGTCGTGTGACAAAATGGGTCAAATCGTGTGCATTATGTCAAAATGTCTTAAATACAAGGATGCTTTCTTCAAATTTTAAGACCTGAAATAATTTAAAAGTCGTAAAGGAAAAGTATGAATTACAGTTTTTGCAGCAGATTAAAGCGAAACACCTTTCAGTGATTAAATYGTAACTCTATTCTTTCTAACTGACTCACTTCGTTTCCTCCACTCTTTCTCATACTCCTCCTCCTCGTCTGAATCTTCCTCCGTTGCCGGGAAAYGTGAGAAGCCGCTGGGAGCTCCGCCTTCATGCCTTTCTTTCCTCCTCCTGAAAACGTTCATTATTTTTAAGGTTAATCTGAGATTACTCAGGCAATAACAGCTGCATCATAATCTCCTCTAAGCAAACCTAAAGGCCAATGAAAATCMAGACGCAGCCTAAATGATTAATAGATCTGATAAATATTTTAGCAGAAAAAGTCACTTTTTGACTTTCAGCTTGTATTTTTGAGTGATCCGGGTAAAAAGGAGAAGACAACAATACTTTTCCCTYTCTTCGATCTCCTTCTGTCGCTCCTGCTCCCTCTTGCGCTGCTGTTCCTCTCGGTGACGTTTCACCACCTTCTCRTAATCGTTGGGGTACATGGGGTCGTACTCGTCAGCCAGGGGGATGAGCACGTCGCCAGAAGCGAAGCCACTGGGGATAGCGTCCTGAAGCGAGAGCGATATGATCCTGTCAATTTGTGAAAGCTATTAAACCTGTCAGCATGGTAACAGGAAAATATCTACAGATGGTTAAAACACAAGCAAGACACCTACTTTCTAACTGCTCTTAAAGGAGGTATTATGTATGTTCCAGGCACATAGTTCAGTTCTATGTCACAATCAAGCAACCGTTACCTTCAGTTGTTCAAAAAATGCAGAATGAGACGGACCTTGAGTCCAGCTGCTGCGTGTGGAGGGGTGTCGATGCTCTGTCGATCATCGCCGCTTCCCCCTCTCTTCAGATCAATGACAGGAGCCAGAACTGTGGTCTGCTTCGTCCGCTGTGTCTACACACACACACACACACGTTTGTATTTATATCCTTATTAGGACCGTGCATTGACTTATTTAAAGTTTATTGTTTTCATGAAAAACTGACAACCAGAGATACAGTGGTTTGCAAAAGTATTC